GTTGTCTTTTGGATAACTATAACAATGACAGAAATACAGTAGGAATTTGTTGTCCAAGTATTATTTAAAGGTGCAACAGCATATACTTTTTTAAATGTATAACAGTTGACCTTCCTTGATAGAGTTTTATATTTTAAAAAGTTTATTCTAAAAAATTCAGAAAATATAAGGTATAGAAAGTTCTGGAAAAGTTGCCTATGATCCTCTCACTCGGATAAACAGCCCTTGTATGTTTATATTCTGTTATACGTTTTCTTCCTGGCCCCACTTTTCTTGTATGTAGTCACATGTTTACCAGTTGCCTGTATTTGCAATTTTATACTCTCCTTTTTTTTTTCTTTGAGTTGGAACCTTACTCCTTTGTCTAGACTGGAGTGCAGGGCACGCACACTCAAGGCCACCCCAGCGTTGACCTTCTGGGCTCAGGTGATCCTTTTGCCTCAGCCTTCCAAGTAGCCGGAACTACAGACGCGCACTACCATGCCCGGCTCATTTTTGATTTATCATAGAGACGAGGTCTCGCCAAGTTGCCCAGGTGGATCTCGAACCCGCGGGCTCAGGCCATCCACTCGCTTCGGCCTCCCAAAGTGCTGGGATTACAGACTGAGCCACTGAGCATATTTGTGTATTCATTTGTTCGTTCAACCATTTGACCAGTGTGCAGACTCAGTGTTAAGTATACGAGAATGACAAAACGTGTTTTCTCTTGTACAGCACGCAGTGTCATGAAGCCAAGGAAATAGTGAAAATTTGAGATCAGGGAAATGTAGGGGCTGTGCTTAAAAGAGGCACAGAACAGGAAATGAAGTCTAAGCAGAAACCCACAGGCTTGACAGCGTCAATGGAGACCCTGGGTTGCAGGCAGGGAGACAACTCCAGGAAGGGCCCTGCGTGGGAGAAACACAGGATGTTTGGAGATGGAGAGGAAACCAAGGTACTATCTTTGTGGGTCCAAGTCAAGGACTTTGACTTTATTCTGAAGTGCAGGTTGAGCCTTGGAAGGATTTTAACCAAAGGAGTGACATGGTCAACTTGGACTGATTGAAAAGATCATCCTACTCATACTGTCAATGGTATCTTGAGTCATTAAATACTCTTCAAAAGAATAGGAAGTGGTTTTAGTATAATTTATTGTTGGACATCAGTCTTTCTAACTTTCGTTATTATAAATACTACTTTGAGGTGCATCTGGGCATGGACATAGTTGTCCATATCACTGATTATTACTTAGGAATGGTGCTATAGATGTATAATTTCTGGGTCAAAGCATGTAAATGTCTAGATTCTGGATATATATGTTGCCAAATTAGAACTATTACATTGAATTATATTCTACCATTATTGATGTGAGAGAATATGTCTTATTCTATGCCTACCAATGCTGTATTATTCTTTTTGCTCTAAGTCACTTGATAAAAAAAGAAAGGTATCTTATTATTCATACCATAGTAGTTCATATCATAATGTGAACCTAGCTGATTTTTAGTGAGATAGATTTTTTTGCTGTTTATTGGCTATTTGTGCCATTTGTCTGTGAATTATCTGTCATGCTTTCCCTATTTTTAATTCAAGCTTTAGTGCTTTTCTAAATTATTTGTAAGGAAAAAAAAATATAAATAAGTGCTATCAACACTATCATATTTATTGAAAATATGTTAAATGTTTTTCCTTTTTTTTTGAGTTGGAATCTCACTCTGTCACCCAGATTGGAGTGCTGTGGCCGCTCCCGGCCACTGCAGCCTCGACCTGCTGGGCTCTGGTGATCCTTCCGCCTCAACCTTCCAAGTAGCTGGAACTACAGGCGTGTGCTACCATGCCCGGCTAATTTTTTATTTATTGTAGAGATGAGGTCTCTCCAAGTTGCCCAGGCGAGTCTTGAACCCATGGGCTCAGGCAATAAATATTTTTTCTAACTTGTTTTTATATAAGGTTTTAAATTTTAAAGTGATCAAAGTTATTGATATATTATTTATAGTCTCTTTTACTGTTTTATGCTTGGAAAGTTTTTCCTCCTCTGAATTCTGTTGAATAAGTACTTCTAATTTTATTGTTTAATTTTTGTAGCATTTAATCATGTAACATATCTATTTAAGTCATAACTTATTTTATATAAAGAATAGATTTCAATTATGTGAGCAGTTCCAACATGTACACCAAAATGTTTTTCAGGATTTATGCTACAATATTTTATAAAATTTATTTTTTTTATATGTTGGGTAACAACCACATTCCATTGTGTAGCTTTTATTTTGTACTTTATACACAGTTTGTTAAAATCATAAATCATCTTGTGCAAAATATGTCACAATACATAAGTTCTGTGTAGGTAGTGAGAAAATTACATTTTAAGGAAATATAAATACTTAATATTAAAATAATCAGGTGTTTTTGAAAAATATGACAGTCTAAGGCTGCCTTCCCCAAAACTTTTTGGAAGTAGGAAGAATAACACATCATGGCTATGCCTTTGTTTTTTGTTTTTTTTTGATTGAGAGCCTCACTCTGTCGCCCAGGATGGAGTGCAGTGGCACGCTTATAGCCACCACAGTCTCAACGTGTTGGGCTCAGGTGATCCTTCCGCTTCAGCCTTCCAAGTAGCTGGAACTACAGGTGTGTGCCACCAAGCCTGGCTAAATTTTTGATTTATTGTAGAGTTGAGGTCTCGCCAAGTTACCCAGGCTGGTCTCAAGCCTGTGGGCTCAAGCACTCCTCTCAACTCAGCCTCCCAAAGTGCTGGGATTATAGGCATGAGCCATCACGCCTGACCATGGCTATGCCTTTTGAATTCAAAACCGCTCTTCCTGTCGTTGTTTCTTCTCTTTGTACGTATTCATCTTCCTTAATTTTATAAATCTTTCTCATCTTAATTGATTCAGCTGCCCCTGGGGCTGAAACTAGACCTATTATTTTAAAAGTTCTTTAAAATAATAATTTTAATAATTTTTCATCAGATTAAGAAAATTTCAACTTCTACTCCATTTGAAATATTCAGTAGATATTTCTTCATTTCAAAAAGTGTCTAAGCTTTAGATCTCTAATTTGGGAAGTTTTATGTGTTAGATGTTTACTAAATAGACTTTCTTGGGGAGGTCTGTTGTAAGCAGGTAGAATAACACCTTGGGTTTCCTGCCTGGCATATTGTTTTTTATGATCGATTCAGAGAACATGCTTCTGGATGTCCAGATATTAACATTGTGTGTGTATCTTCCTATTATTTTAAATGGCTCAACAAAATCACGTGATGCCTTCCATTCACGACGGAACATTCCTTCTTGAGACTAAGAATTGACCTGCCAGTTTGCTTACAGCACCTCAGCAGGATTCAGTAGCTGAAAGATGAAAATATCCTGTATTTCTCCATCACCACCTAGCATTATGTTCTAATATAGCTTTTCATTCCCAGAGGGAGAAACTTGCCATTTCCAAAAAAAAAAAAAAAAAAAAATAATGTAATGCCATGCTTTGGGGATCCCATATTTAAATACTTTGTGCATTTTCCATTTAAATTCAAGCAATATCCAAGAACAGAATCTGGCCGATGATTTTGAGAAAACGAAATGGCAACACCTTCTTGGAATCTCAAACTGTGCAAGGATGTTTTTTGCTAGCAAAACAGGAAGAAATGGGAAAAAAGCATATGGACTCAGGTTGAGCATATGATGTATTTTCAACTTGACTCGGCACTTTACTCATATTTGTAGCGTGACTTAAAATTAGTTGTGGTGAAGCGTTTAGATTTGAGGGAGGGAAAAAAAATTCCCTATCTGGGACTAAATCAACATTTGTGGCATCTCATCAATCGCTGCCTTATGTAATGGCTTTCCCTACCTAAAGAGAAGCTACAGGGATGAGAAAAGTTTATAATATGAATGCCAAGTGCAGATCTTGCCTCTCCCGAAAGGAGTTCATTAATCATCATCGAAACACAAGAACAAACATACTTCACGTCTCTTGCCAATTTTTTTCAATAACATTTCTGAAAGGCAAAGAAAAATTTTTTTTATCTTCATTTGAAAAGGTTTTAATTTGGCTGTTATTTAGTTTGTGACAATGTTATATAAATTTAACGTGTTCTGAGAATGCCTGTACTGAGGATAGAGAAACAGAGTGTATTGGTTAAGAGTTTGGGTCTCTGGATTAAAGCAATCAGAATCTAGATTCTTGGCTCTGCTACCTGCTGCCTGTGTGGGCTTCATATATGCAAAACTCCTCAAACATAGTGCTTGGCACAGGGTGACTGACCAATAACCAGTGATGGAAAATCTTACACTGGTAGGAAGCAGTATGGACATGAAGCTTGAAAACGTGGTTTCCAGTACAGGCTGCAGTGTAAATCTCAGGGCAATTTAATAAGCCTTGGTTTTCTAATCTGTAAAATGGGAATGAAAATACTTGCCTTACCTATATCACAGGATTATCCTGTGGCACAAACAGCATAACATACTGCTTTAATCAAGATAAAAAAACTGAACCTGGCCATGGCATGCCAGATCATATAATAAAATAAAAAATAAATGCCACGCTGTAGAATCTGTTTTATTTTGCATGTATCTCAGATTCTCAATGGTAAGGTTATTTGGGTGACCAGTACATAGTTTTGATTATATTTTAGGGCCAGCCATTTTGTTTCTACATCTTCTATGCAGCTTTTTATGAACATTTACTGCTCTTTCTTTGAAATCCTGTCTTTACATCTTTTTTCTGTCTTCTAATGTAAAAAACTATTTACAAATAAGAAAAATTCATGAGTAATACAGCACCTCACCAATAGATAAAAGGAATGAGAACCTAAAAAAATGAATACATACAAGAAAACAGGCACACCAATTTAGACTATCATAAATGGGGGGAAAAACCTGATGTGCAAGAAAAGAAAGCTCTAGTCTATCTTTGTTTATGACCGTCGGCTCCCAAGTATCAGAGGTAGGGAGAGGGAGCCTTGGTGAAATATCCAGGCACTATTGAAAATGTGTTGATGACTTACTTGTCCCCACGGGAAGATATGCCCTTTCCTGTTCGTTTCTTCATTTCTTTGGCGCCTGCTATTAGAAGCATTGTAAAAAGCCAAAAGAAGAACAAGAAATTCTAAGGACGTTGTAGAAGATGCAGCCTTGGGGCTTTGGAAAATCACAGGAGACAGGCAGGGTCAGTGTCCAGCAACAATAGCTGGGGAATCTCTTTTTGTCCCCCTTTATACAGGGAAGGATAAAGAAGAGATCACATGGACATTTAGTAAGGTTTAGCTCATTTTCTAATTCAAAGTAGTTTGGAAAGAGGAGTTTGAGCAGGTAGAATAGCAGGAGTTTTTTGTAAGGTGAAACAGAATGAAAGTGCAAGCAAAAATTTTTCTGCCTTCAGTTTTAAAGAACACCAGCCTAACTCGTTTTTCTTTTTTCCCTGTGTTCTTTCTGACCTTCTTATCAGCTCTTGATTTTCTCCCTTGGGCATTTTCTCCATATAGTCAGAGCTGACTCCCTCAGAAATCCTGAACCCCACATTATATTGCGAAAGCACTGAAGAGAATTCAAAAATAAACATGTTGAGATACGTAGCTCGGGAACTGTCACAGGATACTTCTGTAAGAAGACACTGCCAGCTAGAAGCCAAAATAAAGTAAAATTCCATTTAACGTGTGGCAGTCCAAATTGCAGGTCTCACTTAAAAGTATAAACTAAAGTGAATATTAGGCATTAGGAATTCCTGCTGAACCTCCTGCATTCACTTGACAATAGCTGTTTCTAGAATTGTCATGTCCCTCCTCTCTGCATGAGCATAGTTCCTGGGACCATGCCTGTGGTCTCCTCTCTCCTCAAGGCAGAAAAAAATGAATGGTTTGCTAATCTCTCATTCTATACATCTTATTGTGCTCCACAGCTGCCATTTCTCATATGTTTGATTCATCTGTCTATCAGCACATTGATGGAGTAACCATGGTGTTAATAACAGAGCGGCATTTACTCGTGTACTGGACTTTTACGGACATTATCATTAATTTTCACAACAGAATCTATATAAGCGATATTGTGCCCGGTTTAGAGATGAGGAAGTGACACTAAGAGTTTAAGATGTGTCCAAATTCAAGTCATAAACACTTAAGTAATAAACTCTGAAGCTGAGCTTTTAACCAAATCCTTACAAACATTTCTGTATGTGTTTCTGTAACCCACAACAGCGTTATATGTTTTTAGCTAATTTAGGAGTCTTGATTGGGAGATTTATTTTGTAGCCAGGCTGGCTTCAACCATGGATGCTGCCAGACGTTCCATGGAGTAAGGAAATGAGCAGAGTTAGGCTAAAGAGAAATACTCTTGGTCGGATAGAAGGATAAATACTCATACTTGCTAATATCAAGTGGATAGAGGAATGTGACCTCGAGGGCTTCTTGGAGGGGGAGATTTTGCTGTTCGGTGAATGTTCAGGTTCTAGATGAGAGAAGACCATCAGGTGGCTGGGGAGCCCAGGAAAGGGCTGCTCTTAGGGCCTTGAGGTGGAGGGGGGGCAGGGACTGACATAGGCATTGCATCCCTCGGGTCCCCGCCCACCTGGGGATGCTGATTCCCAAGTAAGGAAGGAAGCTCATTTCATGTAGCATATAAGAAGATCTTTTCATGAGTGTGCCTTTGATTTTAACGTGATTAGAAAATAGAATCATAGCAGAATATCAGGAAATGACCCCAAACAAATGTAATAAATGCTTCTTCTGTTCGTTCTTTGTGCTGTCTTTCCCCTAGTGTCTTTATTAAGATTTTTGTATAAAATAGGGCTTGGGGGCATGATTGTGCTATTTTAAATAATTTGTAGAGGTTGATTGTATTTCTGTCTTGTGAGGTATTGTTAGTCTCTGTGTGTGTGGTATATAATCTTAATGTAAACCATCATCAAACCATTATCACTCAGTGATAGCAATAGTCCTTAGAATAAATCTATTTACATTATTTTGTGTAAAAATTGCATCTAATTTCCTGGGCAAATATGGAAGCCTTGTTGGATTGTGTTTCCTGCATTATTGACCCACTACCGTCATGCTCTTAAGTGCGCGTGTGGGTGGCCAGACAATGCAGGTCGTTAAGAAACTGGGTTTCATGGTCAGGTACATGGCTCAGAGCTCGGTTCTGCTACTTAGTAGTGCAACCCAGTCCATCCTCTGTTCTTGGGGGAATACTCTCCAAAATTGCTGAAAAGCACTCTACCTTCCAGAATTATTATGTGTGGATTAACGGAGAGGATGTCTTTGTAGAACATCAGCACAGCATCTGACTCTGTATGTACTTAGTAAACAGTAACTATTTTCCTTATCATCATCGTCACATCTTTAGGCTCCTGGATCAAGGTAGATGAGCGGATACCTGTAGAGGCAAGACCCGAGTTCCAGGCTCCTGAAGCCCGTGGGCATGCTGTCATCTTATTTGTTCTCCTTTTTTTGTTTTTTTTTTGCATTCGAGTCTCTCTCTGTCACCCAGGCTGGAGTGCAGTGGTATGATCACAGCTCACTACAGCCTCAGACTCTTGAGCTCAAGCAATCCTTTCTCCTCAGCCTCCCCAGTAGCTGGGACTACAGCTGTGCACCACCATACCTGGCTAATTTTTTGATTGTTTTGTAGAGACGAGGTCTTGCTATGTTGTCCAGGCTGGTGGTGCTGCTTTTAAGGGTTCAGTTCCATTAGAACAAGCTGCTAGCTCCTACGTACTTTGCTTATGATGCTTTTTCTTTTTGAAAATTATTAATGATACACAGATTTCAGAGCCTAGGTTTGAGTCCAGTTTTTACTATTTATAAGCTCTGTGACCTTGCTCAAGACACTTAAACACTCTGTGCCTTAGCTTCTTTAAAATGAGGATAATAGGACCTGCTTCATAGAGTTGTCATGAATAATTGATGTAAATGAGTTAATGTATATTTGAGTCTGGGCTCAGTGGCTCAGCCTGTAATCCCAGCATGTTGGGAGGCCAAGGCAAGTGGATTGCCTGAGCCAGTGGGTTCGAGACCAACCCTGGCAACTTGGCAAGACCTCATCTCTGCAATAAATAAAAAATTAGCTGGGTATGGTAGCGTGCACCTGTAGTACTGGCTACTTGGAAGGCTAAGGTGGAAGGATTGCCAGAGCCAAACAGGCCAGTGCTGAGATGGGCGTGAGCGTGCCACTGCACTCCAACCTGGGCAATGGAGTGAGACTCCATCCCCCCCAAAAGATATGTGTGTGTGTGTGTGTGTGTGTGTGTGTGTGTGCGCGCATTTGAGCTATTAGAATAGGGCCCTGCACATGGCAAATGCTTTATAAGTGTTAGCTATTTAGAAAGTAAACTATTTCCAGTTATCTTGAGATAATGATAGAAGTATGTCCTACAAATAGATCATTATAATATTTAAAAGGCTATGGATTAATATTTAAAACAAGATGAAAATGTGCTGAGCAGTCAGTGCAGCATTTTCATGATAAGAAGCCAGGCCCAGTTCAACTGCCTTATTGGGCAGTGGGCACGCTACTGGCTGTCTACAGGACGACTTACATTTCAGAAGGTAGCCAGTGGGAATTTCAGCCCTGAAATTGAGGAGTACATGAGATAATATCATCTTGTATTTTCTTAAAATCAGCCTAATTCCAGCCTTGAGCCCTTATCCCTCCTTTGATGTGTTACAACTGCCTGTCCATGTCTCCCATTATGAGGCAGTGCGATGTCTGACCAGGAGAGTGTTTCAAGACTTGGGGCCAACCTTCCTGGGTGCCTGTGAAGGTGAGGAAGTCTTTCAGCTTCCCCAGATAAACCACGGGACAGAAAGCAGTTCCTGGGTGCTCTGGGACCCTTGGACTTCCACCCTCTTCTCTATCTTGAGAATCTCCTCCCTTCTCTCTTGTCTCTGTCAGAGGTTGACCCTCTCCTCTGGGACACACCCAGCATTGTCTCCTCTGTAACAGGCTTTACGAAGGACAAAGAGAATTGGTGACTTCTGCAAGCATTTGCTGTCCACCCTGAGATGCTCCCTAAGCCAAGAAAATAAAGCTCGTAACTTCTCTCTGCTTATGAGAGGGAGACAGGGAAGGTATTGCGCAACACATACAAAGTAACATCTCATTCAACAGTTGTGCCATAGATATGTGGAAGAATGGGAAGTCAAGCGCCACAGTGTTCTACTGTGCTGCCTCTGGAAATGTGGCACCTGGTCCTGGCATTCCGAATTTCACCTGCCTTGCAGGTGATGGCCACCACAGTCCTAGGGACCCACAAACCCCTTTCTGATTTGTGGATACCACCTAGCTTCAGGTCACTCTGCTGTTCTCTAAGGTCCATGCTTTTGAGAAAGGAGATGATAGCTCTTATCTTTTCTTCCCTTTAAGGACATTAGTGATGACTGCCAGTAGCCAGTTGTATGACTTTGGTAACTCACTTAATCTTCCAGGGCTTTATCTTGAAAATTGGTGGGTTGGATCAGGGATTTCTAATTTTGTCTTAGTAGCCTACAACTCTTTCTATAGCTCAGAGGAAGAATAAGATGAAGGGGTAGAGAGAGAGAGAGAGAAGTGTGCGGAGAAAATATTGACATAAAAACCAATATTCTGCAGGCGGGCCCTGGGTGCTACTTACGAGCATAGTGACCTTGGGAGTGGTCTCTGAAAATACTCTTCCCCTTCCTGTTTTGATCTGGAACAGGTTCCCTTCTTCTCACAATAACTACCACCTCCCTTGAACAGTCACATCTACAGATGATATCCGTCACCTTTTGTCGGCTTACTTATGCATCACTAGCGTGGGGTGCACAGCACAGACACCATGAGCTGTCTTGCGTCTTGGTTGTGACTTTTCAACTGGGAGATGATGTAGCAGGTGTGGGACAGTATTTGATGTGGAGGGATACCCCTACATCTGGATCGCGTTGGGATGGGTGGGGGGAGATTTCCAGCATTAACCTGGCTCTGCCCCCAGCAGGGATGGCCATGTGCAGTCAGGGTTGGCTCCCAGCCTTGATCTTGTCAAATGCCTGGAGACCTGTAGAAAGGTCCAGTGATTGAAGTATGTGTGTGCCTCCCCGCTCCTGCTGGGCTGAAGTGCCCTTGGTGGCCGGTATCTTGTCTTTGTCTTCAGTCCCAATGGAGCTTTAGAGCAGAAACCTTCACACAAAAATGTTTAGTAGTGGTGCACTGAGGAGAGTGGATACATTGGGAATGACCCGCCCACAACACTGGGGGTGGGTGTTTTATCACAGACATTGCTGAGGTTTACTGGCCCATGATGATAAGAAAAATCAAGCTGACCTTGATGAAAAGTCAGTTTTATTATTGTTTTTAAATTCTCTCCAGACAATGCACCCTTTGTTGCTTGGCCTGGTTAGGACTGCTCCCAACCCCCCAGTTCTCTCCAAACTCTACCCTGATCCTACACCACTGGTATGTAGTAAATTATTATTCCATTGATTGGCTATTGCAATGGTCCTCCAACTGTTCATCTTGCCTTCAGACTATCAGAAGAATAATTTACCTAAAGGAGAGAGAACACAGCCACTCCTACTTCAACTCTTCAACCCATTCTCAGAAGCAGTCTACAGGATATCAGATACATAGGACTTCCAAGATCTGATTCATATGTAACTTATTCCTGCTTCTCTTCTCTTCTGCAACAGCAAAAATCTGGTAT